ATACATAAGCCTTTCTTCAATTACATCTAGCTGATCTCTAAATAATTGATTCAATTTTTAGATGCAATCATACCAACACTAATACATTGAATGCTCGCCGCGTCATGCCCTCAACATTATGGATAAAGTGGTTCCACTTTATCTGAAGTGAAAATACCGCTGGTAGTTGAAGTTAAACCTCCAACTCTCGCTTCACCCACCCTTTAAATATAAAATGTAGTAGTAAATAATTGTCTTCGTAAAAAAAAAAAAAAAAAACGTTGAATTGTATCAAGTGGCTAGTCCTGGTGCATGGGTCTCCCGTGTCAAAGTTTTTTTTTATTTTGACAGCAATTGGAGACGTTGCGATAAGAAACTTAAAGCAGTGCTCAATGCTTGAAATTAGCGTTTGACTCATTTAATTAAACTTTATTAAGGTATTTGTCCCATGCCTTTCCCTTTTCTCATAAACTTCTGCATTTCTCCGAGGGTTTGTGCAATATGTGTTTTAAAGGTATTAATTAAAAATGTATTAAAAATGTTTTTTATCATAAATTTATATTAAAAATGAAAATTAATTTATTAATTATTTAATTAAATTTATTTAATATTAAAATAAATATCAAAATTTTTATTTTTTTTATATTTATAATAAAAATATATATTAAAAAAATCCTCCTCCAAATTACATCTTAGTCTCCCAAGAATTGTCAAGAATTAATGCAACTTTTGAGTGCGATCCTACCGATACTAGTGGCTTGGATCCTATCAAGTGGCCTTTAGCCTTAGTTTGAGGATCCCATGTGTCAGTGTTGTTTGATTCAATTTGACTGTTATGACAGGCAATTTTCAATGGGGTACAATGCTTAAAATTAGTCATCAGCCCATTTAATTTATATAAAAATCTTGATTGAGGCATTTACCCGTCCCTTCTCCTTTTTCTACAAACTTAATATAATTAATATTTCTTATTTTGTGTCTTTATATATTTAAAAATTTTAATATATAAATTAATTTTAATTTATTAAATAATAAATATTAATTATTTTATTATTTATTAACTAATAATTATAATATTAATTATTTTAACAATTAAATTAAACAAAATTAATATTATAAAAAAATTATTTAACTTGTGCTTAAAAAATCAAGTTAAGGATGTAATTAATAAATTTTTTTATATTAATTAGTACAAAAAATAACAAAAGTTGATATTAGTTTTATTATCAATACTACATGTATTATTTTAATTAAATGATTAATTAAATAAATATTAAATTTTATTTTTTATTACAATTAATGTTAAAAATATATTCTTAACTTATATTAGAAGAACCCTATAAAACATATAAAAATTTATATAATCCAAATAATTTATTATATGATTATAACCACTCACTTTCTTTCTTACCTAATTCTCACTGCATTCCCTTTCTTTCTTACCTAAGTCTCACTACATTTAATCATCCAAACCAGCTCCATTCCTCTTTGTTTCCAACCCACACCCTTAACTAATCACTAAAAACTCTCCATATTCAAGGCTATCCATTTTCCCAT